CAATATCAGATCACCGTTTGACGCACGATTGGTGCAATATCAATCGATCGTCATTGTCATATCGTCAAATAAGCAGTAGAGCTGCCTTCGTCTAAACCAGACTTGTACGTAACGCGTTACAAGTAATGGATTACTTGCAATCGATTACATTTTACAGTACTTTTGTAACGCTTCAATTACTTCCTTTAAGGAGGAACGATCCTTGTAACTGAATTACTTTTTTGCTGTAATCGATTACAACATTGCCCATAACAATGTGTCTCAATTTCCTTTTTTTTTTGGGGGGGGGGGGGGGAGGGGGAGGGGGGGGGGGGGAGAGAGGGGGTTAGATGTGCTGAAGTCACTCAGCTCTGGCCAAATATCAATGTTTGTTTTTTCTTTTTCGAAACCACTAAGCACTGGCGGGACCTCGAGGAATAGTAGACCACTTTGCTGCTTCGTTTCCTGGGTAAAGGTTTTTTTGTTTTGTTTTTTGTACACCGGGGAGATTACGTTTGGGTACAAACAATTACCTTATCCAGCCTCTTGTGAGTAATGTATTTAAACGGCACTCTTTTTATTCTATTTTTTTTTTTTTTTTCACGAGAGGGATTGGGTGTGTTGGCGTCGCTCACTTAGCTCTAAGGAAAGACGGTCAAGGCTTTCTTTTCTATCTTTTTTTCTTTTAGAACAACTGAGCGCGAGACCCCGAGGATTATGCAACCGTAATAAAAAAGAAGTTGAATCAAAAGTAACGTGGGAAGTAATCGATTACTTTAGAGTACTTTTTCGATAACTTTTTTAAAAGCTGTACGCGTAATCGGTTGCCTTTTACAGTGAAGTAAATGTAATTGTAATCGGTTACTTTTTTTCATTATTGTGTGCAAGCCTGGTCTAAACGCATCGCTTCGTGTAATCGTCGTGCGATGTTTCGTAGTCCACCTTTAGAGACATAACTGCTCAACATACATGGCCCTTGTTTAAGCTTCTACCAAAAAGAAAAAAACTGATGCACTCTACGTTGGTTAGACCAACGCAATAATGTTCACAGGCCTATAATAATAACTGCGATATATTTTTCGGCAATAGGCCAAACTGGCTAATAACATTACCCAGCTTTTTTATAATTGATGATGAAACATTTCAATAGAAAAGTTGTAGAACTTATGTTGAGAAGCATTTCATCACGCCATTTCTAGTGTTTTCACTTCGTGTAACACACTACTTCAAGCTCAAAAAAAAAACATGCGAGATTTTGAAAGTGTTTTTTCTATAAAACTTCTATAAAACATCGTTTTTTTCGGAAGAATTATTCTTTGAAACGTTTGCTAAATAATGGGTGTTGATTTGCCAGTTTGACGAATCGAAATCAATATCTTGACTTGCTGAATAGGACCATGAAAAATATTTCGTTATTTCGAGCGTCTACACTGCACAAGGTTTACTTAAGGCCATGGAACCCGTTCGTTGAATCACCCTCTATATTTATTATAGAATTAAATAAAACATCCACAAAAAAGCGACCATCACCGCAGCTGCGAAAAATTCAGTATTTTCATCCGTGAGTCATAGCCAACTCAACTCCCATGTGTTTGTTGCTTGTGCTTGTGCCATCAGGCGGGAATGAAACGGTCGGACCGGTTCCATGGATTCATTGGCGTGCTGCTAGAGTGAAGATTGTGAAGCTGTTACCTGCACTCACGCTCTCGTGGTAAAAACTGAACATCCGTTATCAATCGGCGCAGCAGCAGGTCTGTAAGTAGCTTAAAACAATATTACAAAAATGTGATAATGTTATTCGTAACAAGCGTGTTGGGATAAGGATACTTGTATTATTTGAAGTATGTTCTACCTGCCCATGTATTTTTATGAATGTCTGTTTCATTTAGACAGTTTTACTTTGAAAATGAAATGAGCCTAAAGACTCGTAAATATTAATAACATGGAAGTTTTTATGTAGGTAATTGTTTCAAGTTTCGCATTTTCAGTGTGCGCATCTACCGTACGCGACGCTATTAGAGTGAACGAGCCTTCGACAGTTTATTTATCTCTCAGTATAGAAGGACTGTTATCAAGACTAATATAGTGGTGGAAACGGCTCAGCTGAGGTGATCACCTAAATGGTAAATATTTATGGCCGTCAGCACCCTTTCAATGCAAAATCCGAAAACGCACCGAAGTCGTGTTACCGCTAACAGTGTCTGGCAATGCACCCCTAGAATAAAACTCATAACCGTGAAGGTATTCTTGCGCGTAAGAATCGCTTTTCAACATTAGCTAGCACTTACCGCCTCAGTTTCAGATCGCATATATACACTACACTGTACCGGGCATTTTAAACTTTTTGATGCTTCGAAAAATATTTAGAAATTTATTATAACAATTACCCTCATCGAACAGGGAGTGAATGTTGCATTGAACAGTGCACATTTCTTGGTCTTTTAAACTCGGTATTGTTATTTTTTTTTTAATTTTTACTCAGTGCATACAGCGTTTGCCTTTTTTTTTTTCTGACGTTGTCAGCATCGTAAGGTAAATATGAAGTAATTAGGCGCTTCAATGTTTCATGTTTCACTTTTTGTTTTCTTTCTTGTGACATGCCGCTCACTCAGGGGAATACACAGCTCAAGAAGGAAATAGTGGGCTTCTTGTACGTCCATGCCCAAACACAAGAGCAGATAAAGACATATAGTTAGAGTACAAGGAAAGCGGCGGATTAAGGAAGGCGACCCCCCCTTTACACATACTAAGCTACCCAAGGGCAACTTCTTTAAATCTAAAAAGAAGGATAGACATAGACCAGCGTTTTTGGAGGAAGAGATGTGTAGATTCTTGTGAAATTGTAAATATTAGGTAAAAAAAAGAAAAAAAAATGCTTTTAGGCACGAGCAAGGAAGTCATACTATAATTCAAACCGGTGGCTGACTAAAAGGTACCGCGGAGAGCAAAACGCAAAACGCGTCAATAAATGTATGACTTACATAGTTCAGTAAATCACACGAGGGTTCAATTCTTATCATTAAAACTGTACGGAGGACTGTACTACTTTGGTAAAGTTTTCAATTCCCATTAAACATCAATTTTTTTCTTGAACCATGAAAATACCCGAGGCACGAAAGAAGTAAAAACATTGAGTGAATTGTAATCATGTTGTGGGAAGCTCGGCCTGATCCGAAAAGCAAACGTTTCGTACTGTCTTTCCGTTAAAGGGACACTGACAGGGTGTTTATGCTCGCCGAGGTTTTTAGTTGTATGTGACATATGAGAGCTGAACTACCCAGAACAGAATTTGCGGCTCGAAATTCGGTTTCTTTCCGCCCGAAAACCGCCGATCAAGAACTGGCCGGTTCGAGTCTCGCTCACTCTCTTTTCCGTGGTCACGGGCCGTTTTCTAAGGTATCGATGCGACCACCAAATTTAATCAAAGTCGTGGGTCACTGAAGGCAGACACTCAATATTAAAAATAGAAAAAAATATGAAACCCATTTTTTGTGGCTTCTAAAAAGCTGCAAATACGTTGATTGAAAAAAAAAAAAAGTTCCAGAGACAACCGGAAGCATTCTGTGCGCTCGTCGTTTCGCGTATCGTGGGACTCGCGGGGACGGCGATGGCAGCGGACGACGGGCGTAGAACCTCTATTTCAGAACTGTCGTTCGCGGTACCGGCGAATTCTGTCTACTTTTAAAAAAGAAATTTGGGAATGATCAAAAGATTTGGTATTCATCCCGTACGACACGCCCGACCACCAAGCCGATTTGGACGAAGACGTCGCCGAGCCGTCGCTCCCTTCTCGTGGCTGAAGACATCGCTCGCGCAAACGTCAAGCACGACGTGTCTACTTCGAGTTTAATATGCACGCGTACGATTTCTTCACTAGGTGCAGATGTCGCCAATGCGTGGTGCTTCCCGACTTCGACCCGGGAGTGCTTTTGCTAGAGGAAAATCGGCAACAAACTTTCCAACTTAGTTTACCGGCTGAATTATTACTAAGGAAAAAGCTCCGCCAGTGAAGAGATGCTCCAGTAGCTCAGTGGGAAAGACGTCCGCTTCACACGCGGTAGGACCGGACTCGATCCCCCGTGGAACCTTTTTTTTTTTTTTTTCGAACATTTTTTGATGTTTACATATCTTCTTTTTTTTTTACAATTATCGTTGAAGAAACAAACAAAAAAAATAACAAACAAATGTTGTGGACGACACTTCGCTGAATTAAATGGTATGGGATTTCCTTTTTGACACCTGCGAACTCAATGTAATCACTTTCCACAAAATGCAAGGAGCCTATAAATCAGGTAGCGTCCGCTTTCCGAGGTGCCCGTATATGTTCTACAGGAATTGCAGCCAGCCATTGGTACCGATCCCGTTGATCTTTCGGAAACTCCGTCGCACAATGCCCCCTTTTTTTTTCGAACGCAGGACATGTGAGCCAGCTCTTCACGCAACATCTTGGGTGTATTCTTTTCGGAGCCGATAATGGAAATTCACCACGGGTACTCACTACTCATCTCCAACTCCTCAATGTACAAAACAACTCATCTTGGAGTACAGAACAACGAGCGGAACAAACATGACTGCAAAAGAATCGCACGGCGAAGTTCCCGTACGCCGCATGTCGTGTCGTCTGCTACCGGATAAGAGAAAAAAAAAAAAATAACCCGCACGGTCGGGTGTAGCCACGTGACTTCCGCCACTCAGTCTCTTCTCTCCACTTCTCCGATCACCGTCGGGTTTCGGTTTCGGTTTTGAGCAGTTGCGTCTTTTGGCTTTATTAAAAGAATACGCAACTCTCTTGCAAAATAGTAATTGGGTAGTCCTCCGACACCATAATGAAGCGCCTGGCAAAAAATGGAAAAACATTTTTGGGGGGTGTCAGTGTCCCTTTAAGGTAAATTTTAGAAATAGTTATTACAGATGGCAAGGCTCGCTTCCTGTTTGAGCCCATTTTACTCGAGGAACATGTGGTTACTGTGCGTCATGCATCTGTCGTGCAGTTGGTGCATGACATACTGAGGCCACCAATTATGGAAGAGCTTCCAAACTTCAAGAAACGAAGAGGAATTGCTAAATGGATTCCTGTGATCATCGCCGCCTCGATGCTCTTCTTGGAGTCGTCCACGTACCGATGCTCCGGTATTTTTTACGTCATTATCATGGAAGAATTCGCCATCGCCCGTGGCCCCGCATCTTGGCCAATCACCATTCTAGGTGCATTAAATGATATCGGAGGTAAGTGCCTTCACACAATAAAAAGAAAGACGTTTACAATTTCCCAATGCCAAATTAGAGCGTAGCTTTCGAGGGGGAGGAGGGGAATGTATGCCCCTCCTCCCCCTCCCCTTCTCTCCTGTTCCCCTTCCATTTAGTGGAAAATTTTCGTTAAATTTTCAGCTTAATATAGCCAAATTTCTCCGCCAAATTTAGCGGGAAAATGTTCCCGTTAAAATTAGTGGAGAAATCTGCCGAAAATATTCCCGCTAAATTTAGCGGGAAATGGCGGGAAAATGTCCTCGCTAAGTTTAGCGGGTTAAGTTTCCCCGCTCAATTTAGGGGGAACTTGACGTCATGTGACCACAACACCAATTCAATTTTCCCAGTAAATTTAGCGGGGAAACTCTGACGTCCCGTAATGCAACACACGCGGTTACGCCGACCGCGATGCCGATGCTGCTCAATCCGGAAACGGGCGCCTAGCCGCGCTCTAAAAAAGGAATTGAATTCTTTTTAGCACGGAATCTGTTTAAGTGGCTATGCATCATCACGGGAGTAAAGTCTGAAGGGATGCCACGGGAACTGTTACGGAATGTCTAACGCTTAATTCAGATGGAATGCGTAACGCGTAATTCTGAGAATTCATCAATATCTTAATCCTACGGGTAATGCGGATATACGCACCATGTATTTTCGCGGCACGATTTGGGACTTGTGGCGGACTTCGCAATTTTTTCCTTTCTCCTTTGAATTTTGTTGCGTTAGACTGCTATGAACATTTGGAGAGGGGGAAATGAGAGCAAGCCGGGACGTCAGAGGACCAAGCTCTGGTTGGAATGATTAGCCGGTAGACGCTAACATTGTCGCCACTCATTGTTCGAACGCGGACGCCGGACGTCGGCGTTCGAGTTCGAAAAGTGATTCGGAGTTTTTTCGCTTTTGTTTTTCATCTTTGCGTATATCCGCTTAGTGAAAGAGTTTCGGGCTTCTATGCATGGAGTCGTGGGTTCGAATCTCGTCGAGTCGCGTTTAGACATTTGTTCTTTCTTATTAAATAGTTATTATTTCTTCTGAATTATGTGTTCTTTTGTATTGACTGTCGTCTGAAGTACGCGTTACACATGCCGTAATGGCTTACGTGGCGTCTCGTCACACCCTTCTTCGGGAATCCCAGTCCTTAGACACATTCTGTGTTAAATACGCAATAACTTGAACGCGTTTTTCGGTTTCGGATTCCTCTTAGAACCCGCTTTCGCGCTAGCGGTCCTGCTTCTTATAACCAAAGCGCGCCACTATAAGCATTTAGAGTAAAGACGCAGGCGATATGATGACGAATCAGAGTAGAAAAGCCGAGAGACAAGGAGCTAAAAAGTACAAGAACAATACCGTCTCAGAACCAGCTGACAAAGGATTTAATTTGACGCAGTCTTCCTTCGTCTCTTCACATATCACGAGCACAACCTCCGGTCGTCGGTAGGCACCACATTTGAAGGACTCAAACAAAAATACACGAGCACGACTGCGGTCTTAAGCTACCGGTGAGTACATCATTGTTAGACCCGCCATAACGGCGGTGTCTCATCGTCCAAAACAAACCTTAGCTCCCAAACAACGGTTTGGTACAATTTCGTGATAAACTAAAAAATGAAAGCCGTTTACAATTTCCTGTAACGCCGGTTAGAGCGCAGCTCTTGAGGAGGAAGATGGAAGCGTACTGAGGGATAGGTGACACCTTGAGGTCACGTGACCTCGAGGGGGTCACGTGACTTCAGGGGCTCACGTGACCTTTGGGGGTCACGTGACCTCTCACGTGACCTGAAGGGTCACATGACCTTAGGGGGTCACGTGACCTAAGGGGGTCACGTGACCTCAAGGAGGTCACGTGACTTCAGGGGGTCACGTGACTTCAAGGGGTCACGTGACTTCTGGGGGTCACGTGACCTAGGGGGGTCACGTGACCTAGAGGTGTCACGTGACCTGGGTGGGTCACGTGACCTCGGGGGGTCACGTGACCTCGCGGTTACGCCGACGGCGACGCCGACGCCGCTCCAGCCGGAAACGGGCCCCTAAGAGCTGCGCTCTAAAATAAAGAAGAAAATTAGGAGAAATCATCCCGCTGTACAAAGAAAGTAAACCAGAGAGAAAATAACGTCCATATCTCCTTATCCAAAGTCAAAGAGGGCCTACTAATACAATTTCCGGCGTTCGTAATCCTAATAGTGTTTTTAAAAAACCCTCTTGAATAAATATTTTTCAGTGCTAACAACAGTCGTCTCAGCCCAGTCTGGGTAACAATCATTGCACTCACTGAGATGGTTTACAATTTCAGAATTGACCGAAGAGGAATTAATCGCTGTTTTATGTTATAAAAGCCGGTGGTTAAGGCAGCGGCCGGTTTGACAAACATACGAGAACTCACGTGCCAAAAGAATTTCATACACTACTGCAATCTCACATTTAGTGGCCGGATCTCTATGATTTTTTTGCCAACCATGCTTGTCCCCCGAACGTTTACGCTATGGCTCTTCGTCAAGGCCTTGAGGTTCTGAGAGAAGATGGGGAAAAAAGGCAGGCACACACACTTCTCAGGTTTCTTGCGGAGAACGGTAACAGAACCGACATTAAAGAGAACACTCCTAAACACACTCAACTGGAAACACGAGCTATAACCCGAAGAAACCAGTCGTGTCATTTGAAAAGTAACTCTTATCATAATAGTAAAAACAAGACTTGCTCAAAGCATTTTTGAGGAGAGAGCATACTACTGCCCTTTTCACTGCTTTCGGTTCGCTACTTTGAAATAACAGCACCGGTTTCGGGGCAGCTTTGCCATAGCTCCAGCTCAATCCTTGCAAATGGAAAAAAAAATTTAATCTAAAAACTGAATACAGCCAGAAGTGCAAATTTCCCTGGTAAAGATGAGTTTCGGAGCTTGATTCTTTATAAAGGAAATCCAACGAAACACATCTGGTCCTTCAAACACGCAGATGAGAAAAATCGTAGACATACCGCTTGATAACTACACTATTCGGCACGACTGACTGAACTTTTGAAACAACCACCCGGTCTAAACCAGCTGAAAAAATTTCAGAAAGCAACGGGGCCAAGGGGGACCTAATATAAATACCCTGTTTCTGGGCGAAAACATTCCTATCAACCTCAACTGCTGCTGATCTTAGATAAAGTTCCAACGAACGCATGAAAATTTCAACATCAAGGCCAGGCAGCTTGGAACATAACCAGGTTATCATCTAACAACTGACGCACGTCGAACTTTTTTCGTAAAGACGAAAAGGGCATCAATCTTTGTACAGCGCAATGCGTGCTTTTCGCTTAAACGATTTGAACGGCGTTCCGTGAAACACCCTTTTTACGTTTCTGTAAAAACAAAAAAAAAAAAAAAACAACAACACCTGCAGCGCACGGGGATGTATGTACTTAAAGTTGCAATAGGAAATGTTCGCTACACAAATCGAGAAGTAACTAAAATGGGAGCTTTCTTCTGCTAAGTAATGTATATCTTGATTAAACGAAAGCGATAACAAATGCGACCCATTAGGTCTTATTTTTACAGATGACGTATCTTCAGCTATGTGACAAAATTTAAATAGGCGAAATGATTTTGAAAATTGCGTTACCCTGGTATAAATACAGCAAACTTCGCCACATTTCCAAGTTAAGTATGTGCGCTTGGTGGTATCCTGGGGCATCCATTTTGGGTATTTTGACAAATTCATTATTTGGAGGCTTTTACAAAAAAAATTTTTCAGGATAAAACGGTGTACTAACACAGTTTACCTCCCCGCTATTTGTCCGAATTTGCGCATAATAACTTTCAATTTCGATAACCTACCAGAAATCAAACACCTGGTTATAATCGAAAGTTTTTGTAGCATACAGTGAACAATGGTTTTCTAAATGCCTGAAACGGTGCGAAACAAACACCGAGTAGACAGACTCTAAAACAATTGTTGAATGCGGAATGTTATTACGGACTGTGGTGTAAACTGCAATACGGCTTGGCGAAGAAAAAACAAACGCCTTTTTGCGCAAAACCAAATTTGCCAAGATGATATTGTTCATGAAACACGTTCTACATGCTTCCTTCTTGATCAATGGCATATTGGGTACATTCTTTTTGACACCAAATGCGTAAGGAATGCTACGTTGATATCTTCTAAATTAAGTCTTTCGAATGAACGCATTATGGTCTAACCGTCATTCAGTTATCGGCGCTAAAAGTTGCAATATTTAATGTCCTTTTACACGCTGAGTATATATTTTCTACAATGAAAGAACCTTTCAGATTCCACCAAACAGTTACCTATGTGTTGGATTTGTCCTTGTCAGTCGCGCTGTTTCTATTATGAATACATATACCTACTAGCCCAGCTATGCGTTTTGTCAAACAGTTGTAATCATCTGCGTCCGTTTGTAATCATCTTGAACATACATTTAGAGAGACAATATGCTTTTGCGTATAATTACCACAGATATGAAAATCTATCGAAAACTATCGATAGTTTTTCCAAAACTGTTGATAGTGTTAAAAACTGCGATGGTGGACTCCAGATAGCACTATCGATAGTCCACTGTCGATAGTACTATCTATAGTTGACAATCGATAGAACTATTGAAATCTGGCTTTCGTTCGGCTATCGATACAATCAGAAACAAGCTTTCAGAAAACTATCGAGTGTTAGGAAAATTAAAGCACTACCCTAAAAGATAAGGACGACGGATATGTACGGGCAGGCAACGCCTGGTTTCGGGGAAAAGCATGACATTTAAAGGAAACCATACAGAGTGGCATTCTCGTACAATTATTTTACCGGTAAAACAAAAATGGCGGTTCGCTAGTTTTCTTGCGTGCATATTTTGTGTGTTCATGGGGTTCTGATATCAGGTTTCACACTTTAGTATGCCCGCAATTGTAATACAATTGACTATATTCAGATTTGTTTTTTTGTTTTTGTATTTGGAGTTAGGGGAAACATTTGCTGAGATATTTAGGATCAGGGTTTTCACAAGTTTGTTTCACGCTTGTGTCTACTTTATTACTCAATTGGCACATATGCTTTTTCATACCCTTTACCACTGAAAGGTGAAAATGAGCACTCTGCTAGGGATGATAGAGCTTTACTTCTTCTGATGTCCAGTTATAGCAAATATCAAAAAATCGAAAATTAGCTGTTGACGAAAGAACTTAGGCTTGTATGCCGTGTTATATTGCAACTTTTTGGTCAGTTCTATTTTGTCCGGGTTTACTAACGCTGGCTAGGAAAATATTTATCTGTTGGTGTAAAATACAACTTCAAAATCCTGACGCCGTCACATAATATATAGTGTCCTTATCAGGGGCGACCAATAAGAACAGAAAACGTTGCTTAGAAAGTATGGCTTCCGCCACATCTCTTGACTGGAGTCATCTGGTGACAGGGATGACAGGGACATCCATTTTTCTGATTGAGCTAATAAAAAGCCGCAGGAACACCCCGAACAAAAATCTAAAAAAGCAACAAAATATCCTTCGAGAACTTTCAAGTTTATATTTTTTTTATTAATTTTTGAAGTGTATACAATAGATATTTTAATAGCAGCAGCTTTTAAGGGCGATTTCTAGCGTTTTTGTGATTGCTTTCCGATACGTTTTAGATTGTTTCGCGATAACTATGCGGAAGTTCCTAATTGCAGTTGCGTCTTTTGCCGACAAACACCACATTTCCTGGATGTCGTTCGTCAACTAATAAAATCCCATCGATAGCATTGGAATAGTTGGCTATTGATATTTTCTTAATATGCGCCTATAAACAGTTTCACAATAGTGGGCTAGTATGGCTATCGAGTTTCACGATGGTCGACAATCGATAGTTTTACGATAGTCGACTATCGATAAGTAGTATCGCTTATATACTATTGATAGTAGTATCGATAGTTTTACTATGGTCCACTATTGATAGCACTATATATAGTTTTTCACTATCGGTAGTTAAATTTGGCTTCTACTAGTGAAAGTATCGACAGCACTATCCATCGTTTTCCATCACTAAGTGTCACGATATGTCACACTGCGTCACATAACGTTACAATCTCACGTCGTGCGACATCGCATGAGTGTGACATCACATGCGTCGTATTAAAGCGCCACAAATAGTTAAGATTGCGTGAAAATGACGTCACATCACGTCAATATTAGGTAACGCCGCAGTGTCAAGGACGTCAGCAATGCAGCAGGCAAAAGAACCCAAATGCAATGACATACATCTAATTTGGCAGCAGTCACAATAAAATCTCCAGTTTTTTTTTTCATTCCAAATTATATTAACAGCTCGTATAGCTCATTTCTAACTCTTCCCGAACTCAGACCCTTTACTATAATGCTTTTTTTAACGCAGGAATTCTAGCTGGGCCTCTGTGTTACCTGATTTCTTTGAAGTCGGTTATCTTGATTGGGTGCCTCGCGCACGTGCTCGGCATGGTGGGCGCATCCTTCGCACCCACAGTCGCCTGGATGTCGGTCACTTTAGGCTTCATTCACGGTAAGAGGTATTGAATATAGAGGCTACCTAATTAGTTTAAAAAAAAGGGTAGCCAAATCAAGAATTGTTCAAATATTCAAGAAAAAACTTTAAATTTATTATCACGTTCTTTTACTCCCAGATGCCGCTTAGTCAAGCGCGCGTAATGTTGTGATGACCTTTTTGGGTGTATTTGAATATGAGCAACTCTCTAAATGATGCTTTTTTTATTAGTATTCAAAAAGCGGAACACGGCAGGGTAGGATGATGGCTTATGAAATTGTAGAAAAACGTTCCTGAATATAAGACGTCTTGAAAATAAACTGCATTAAACAAACACACGTCAAAAAAAAACATACTCCACAACTCAAAAAATCGTTACAACAATTGTTAGAACTCAGCCTGCAGCATAGGGCTCACGTAGAGTGCGGATAATGGGCAGCTTCGTCCAATCACATGGCACATAACCAATTAGGGTTAAACCTGCAAAACGTTATGACAGCGCATACAGAAATAATGATTTCTTTCATATTTATCCCCAATAGTTTGGTTCTGAAAGGTGAACTGCAAAAAGAAGGGCCGATTACAATTGGCAATTGCCAATCTAGTGCTTTTTACAGTTTATTAAATAAGTAATACGAGGTTATTCGTAAATTTACTATGTGGCAATGAGTTATCGCATATAGTATTCTTAAATTTCAGAAGTTGTAAAGCTAGGTTCAAACAATGCCTTCCCTCTCCGCTCTCACTATCATAGCGCCCACGAAGGGCAGCCATATAAGAAGAAAACTGTCTTCATGCGGTGCACCTCTACTTTCATTTCTCTTTCCATGATATTGTGGTCGTTAGTCCTCTAATATTCCTCGTTGACCAGCCGATTCACTCGAAAGAAAGCTTGTTACTGGCTATCCTGCGTAACACGTAAAACTTAAACCACCGCAAACAAACACACGCAAAAAAGAACTCAGCGAATCGCTTAGGACGCGATGAGACATCAAAACGCGATCAACGCTAGGATATTGTACTTGACTTACTATCTTGCTCTTTGACCTTGCACACATCGTATTTTTCAGGTAAATCCTATTAAATAATAATTATGTTGCATGTATGTTTAGACAGCCGAAAGTTAGCTTAACTGAACAGAGGAGTTGTCTCAGTTGTAGATAAAAAGTTAACGAGTGTAGTACAACCACTGGCATGGGGTCTTTAACGTACACCACGCAGTATTAATACAGGACCGCACGCCGGTACGATGTTCATGCGGTTCAAAACAGGCAGGGGCAAGTATTGAACCCAGGATACCTGGGTTCTGCAGCGCGAGCTTTCGCCACGCTGCGAGCTGCGACGCTTTAAAACATTTCGCCACCGATCATCTCCTAATAATATTAAGGGGTTCTTTATTCGGGAAGATTATACTGTAGCTCAAGTTTGATTAGCTAAATGTTGCTTAGGAAATCCGCAGTTGCTGGTATATCTTTAAACTTTTTAGCGCGCTAGAAAAAAATCGGAGGTTAGGCAATTTATATAATTTTATATACCCTATTGAAAATAACACATCAGCCCTGATGCCCTATGGAACCCTCTCAGCGCTTCAAACCCCTTGAGCCCTATAAACCAAGCCAGACCTTCAAACCCCTTCAGCGCGTAAGAACCTTCAGCCTTTCAAGCCCCCTCAGTCCTTCAACCCCTTAGATTCCCAAATGACTGTGAACTTTAGACCAAAAAATGCAGTTTAAATCGTTACTGAAAATTTATTTCAGACATTGAGTTTTACATGCATATTGTAACTGGGTAAATTCGTGAGATGTACGGTAGTTCAACTAATAATACCGATCAGGTTCACCACACGGACACATACACACTATCAGTAGCACGTTTAGCGAAAACCACGAACACGTAACCTACATCCGCCACTCTTGAGAAGTCCTGAGCACAGTCACGGTGTCGCCTCCGGCGTCTTTTTTTCGCTCGCTGGATGCTTCGGATGACGGACGAACGAAGGGGCTGAAGAAACAGGGCATTGAGAGACCTTCATCTGCACACCCAGCTGCTGTAGAAAATGCGGAGAGCAAGTCGTCTGCTTCTTGCGCAGGAGTTCCGCTGACGTAAGAACGACGCCGAGCTCTTGTGGGCTGTTCAAAACCAAATAGTGGGTACATCTCAATGCTAGGTGCTTTGAGGTCCACCCACTATTTTTTTTTTTTTTTTCAATAAGCCAATAAGAGCTCGGCGTCGTTCTGACGTCACTGCAACTCCTGCGCAAGAAGCAGACTACATGCTCTCCGCATAGGTCCCACGCGAGCAACGGGAAGCCGACACTGAGAGTCGGTTTGTTGTTGTGCATTTAATTTGCGATCGTTGACGGAGAAAAAATAGGGCGACCAGCTTGTGACGAAGGCTCCATTTCGACTGACTGAAAACAGGTTATGAACAAACAAACAACAACACGCCCCTCTTTTACTTTCCCCACGCACCCTCTCTCCTTCTTGAGCAAAGAAAAACAGTGCAAAGGGGAAAGGGCGAAAACTAGGGAAGCTGAAGTGAGATGAGCGACCTCCTTTCCAGAACGGCTTTTCTCGAACGCGCACTTGTCCCCTTCGGTGGAGCCGCGTCAGCGTCTCGACATGATGCGAAGGGGCAACGCGTCTTCAATTTTGAAAACTCGTCACGCCCGCCCGGAACAAAATGGCCAGGCGGCTTCCCCGACGCATATATCCTGAAGGGTCACGTGATCTCCCACACAGATCCGTCAAAACGATTCTGATGGGTGCTGTCATTTCACTGAAAGCATTGGGACAAACTCCACAGGCCTCTCAAAAAGCTATGGCGGGCCTCTTACACCCTTTCGGCATTTTTAAAGCGTACGTCAGGCCCTTTAATAAACACTTTGATGGGTACGTCAAAACATTTAAGAAATCGAGCTATGGCTCATAGACGGATTTCAATAGGGTATCTATTACTAAACAAGTCTGCTTCTAAAGGTCAGCTATTAGCTCCACCTGGGTTTTTCTGAGACTCAATTTCTTGTTTGAGACTTTCTTGTCTCCGGTTGCAGTCTTTATTGGCAAAGGCCAATATAAAAAAATCTGGCACAGCACCCTCTTATCTAAGGTGTAATACATCATAGCTCAACAAAGTATTTTTTTTAAACGTTAAACAACACTATTGCTTGTTTTGCTCGTGAACCGACTAAAACAAGATATAAATATTTTGAGAGATTAATTTTCTTTTAAACAAAATGTTCATAAACAGAGCGTCACACAGTTAGCACCAGACGACATCGGCACAGTTTTTTTTGTTGTTTTTGCTGATTCAAGGTATTTATGAAAAACAAAATGTAGCACCTAAGTTATTGTAGAGGCTGGGTATGTTTAACCACATTCGTTGATTATCGAAAACCTTTTGTTCCAAGACAAAAAAAAGTGAAAGCCGTTTACAACTCCCTGTAACACCGAATTAGAGCGCAGCTCTTGAGGAGGAGGAGGGAAGGGTACTGGGGGGGGGGGGGTTAAGAGACCTGGCGGGGGTCACGTGACCTTAGGGGGTCACGTGACCTTGGGGGGTCACGTGACGATGCCGATGATGTCATCAGTGACGTCACTGATGACGTCATCAGTGACGATGACGATGCGGACTCCGATGACGTCATCAGCAATGATGACGATGGCGATGCGGATGTCGGTGACGTCATCAGTGACGTCACTGATGACGTCATCCGTGATGATGACGAGTGACGATGCGGATGCCGGTGACGTCATCAGTGACATCACTGATGACGTCATCAGTGATGATGACGATGACGATGCGGACGCCGGTGAGGTCATCAGTGACGTCACTGATGACGTCATTTGACAATGACAATGCGGATGCCGGTGACGTCACCAGTGACGATGACGTTATCGGGGAGGTCACGTGACTTTGGGGTGACCTTGGGGGTCACGTGAAATTTAGGATGACCTTGGGGTGAGCTTGGTTACGCCGACGCCGCTCAAGCCGGGAACGGGCCCCTAAGAGCTGCACTCTAAAAGGTGAAAGCCCTGTAACGCCGAATTGGAGCGCAGCTCTTAAGGAGTAGGAGGGAAGGGTACCGAGAAGAGGGTAGACCCCTCCTTGTCCTCCTCGTCCTCATTCTCCTCTTCCTCTCCTCATTCTTTAATATGCTGCGGGGGTCACCTGACCTCGGGGGAGAAGGTCACGTGACCTCGGGGGGTGTTACGTGATTTGGGGGGAGGGGGGTCACGGGACCTCGGGGAGGGGCCACGTGACCTTGGGGGGTCACGTGGGGGTCACGTGACTTTGAGGTGACTTTGGGGGGAGGTCACGTGACCTGGGGGTCACGTGACCTTGGGGTGACCTTAGGAGGGGTCAAGCGACCTCGGGGGTCACGTGACTTGGGGCTTACGTGACCTTGGGGGGTCACATACATGGGGGTCACCTGACCTTGAGGTGACCTTGGGGGTCACGTGACCTTGGGAGAGGTCGCGTGACCTCTGGGGGTCGCGTGACCTTGGGGGGCACGTTACCTAGGTGTCATGTGACCTTGGGGGTCACGTGACCTTGAGGTGACCTTGGGAGGGGTCACGTGACCTTGGGATGACCTTGGGAGGGGTCACGTGACCTCGCGGGGTTCGTGACCTGGGGGTCACATGACCTTGGGTTGACCTTGGGGGTCCCGTGACCTTGGGGTGACCTTGGTTACGCCGACGACGACGCCGCTCAAGCCGGAAACGGGCGCCTAAGAGCTGCGCTCTAAAAACTGAGAACGGAGGCGCAGTGACTTGCTTGCGTTAACTCTGTCGTGCTCTGTACCTTGAAAGCTTGTATGTTTGATGCGTCGAATTCTTTAAAGCTACGTACTCATATGCACCTTACCCTGAAGGTGTCAGAAAGCCGAATTGGCATTCCTAGTCTTGGGTGTTTCTGCTGAAGTGGCTACCAGTGTTCTGCTTTGTGTAAACGAGATTAATGCCCGGAGGTAGAATATGACCTCACATCCACAGCCACCTGTAAAAATAGGTTCACCTGATTGTGTTTTAGTTTGAATTTTTATTTCTCTCCTGACTGTAATTTCTGGTCAATAGCCGAATATCAGAGCTAATATATCCCTATTATGTACAGCTTTTTATACAGCTTGAATGAAGTTTAGCATAAAATGTTGCACTCGTGTCAGGCCATTGTCATTTAAAGTGTTGTAAAGTACGTATAATCTCAGCTTTACAGAACAGAAACGAATCTTTTATTTCAGGAATTGGAGGAGGCTTCATCCGCACTTTGCTGCAGGTGTACCTTAGCACAAATTACAAGAAACACCTCGGAATGGCTCATGGCCTGATGTTCGCTGGAGCCACTGCTTCCTCCTTCGTTTTTCCTTCCGTCCTAATGAGTTTGAAGGAGGCAGTCAATGCTCGGGGATGTATGTTAATATTAGGAGCAATTCTTCTGCACTATATTCCATTGTGCATGCTCATAAAGCATCAGGATCGCGTCGACATATCGAAAAATGTATCCACCAACGGCAACATCGAGACCATCGAAACTACGGAAGAATTAACCACCACAGAAACATCTTCAAGATCGTGTTTTGTGATTGCCCGGGATGCTGGGAAAATACTGTGCACACCAACGTTTTATATCATCGTAATCTCCTGGTTATTAGTGGTGTACGCACTCGAACTTTTCTTTATTACTATAGTGGACTTCGCAATAGACAGGGGCTTAACTGCCGATGATGCTGTGACCCTGCTCGCAGGATACGCGGTGACGGATCTCTGTGGAAGGGTACTCCTCCCAGTGGCCGCTGACAAGCAGTATGTTCGTACAAGTACGCTCATGGCTGTTAACTATTTTTTCCTCGCTAGTTCATTTCTGGCGTTACCAGAAGTGTGGTCTTTTGCCAGCCTTCTTGTTGTCGGTGCTCTGGCCCCAATATTTATGGGATGTGGACTAGCCATGACCGGTGTACTGATGGCCAAGTACATGGGCAGGGAACGTCTACCGCTCAGCTATGCAATCGCCAGTCTACTCAGCAGTCCGTTGGTCTTCCTCAAGCCTGTAGTCATTGGTGAGTAGTTTTCTTCTCATTTCTCCCTACCATGCATATTCAGTGCCTTTTCTCATTTCTTCGTGCGGTGCATGTTTAGACGCGTAGATTACATCATAATGTATTCTCTCGCGTGATATTCTATTGAAGTATCAAAGCTTATGGTAGGGAAAATAAGGAGTAATTGGAACTGTTACGTTCGACCTTGATTGTGCACGAAACCAAGAGGGGTAAGGGGTGAAATCCGTAAATAGTTATATATTTACACAAAGAAGTAAATAAAGTTAAATGAAAAAACCAGTTGAAAAGAAAAAAACACGAATTCAATATCTAAAATACAGTTCGATGTAGGCAGTTCCCGACTCACGTTGCCGTGGAGATGGAGTAAGTGATTGCTGGCAGACTTCCCTCTGAACGTTGGCTGTTGGCCACACTTGTTCCCGATCAAGTTTCCCAGGGTAGCTTTCGGGGGCAAGACATGAGCTTGCCGGACGCTGGAACTAGGCCAGCCACCGGTGTATTCGCTCTGGGACGGAGCCGAAATCTAACCGTCTCTCTCGTCCAGAAAAAATCTCTCGCACGCTCCCCGAGCCTTGAGTCTTCCTTTGTTTTCGTTGTTTCTTTTTTTTTTTCGTCCTTTATCAACCTTGTCAGGGACATTATGCCAAAAACAACCCACAAAATTCTGCGGCATGTCCTCTTATTTTAAATTATTTGCATATAAATCAGAGGTTATTTTATTGTGGTGTAGCCTCAGAGTTCCTAACTATCACAGCATGGGTGCCTCTCAAGTGAAGTGTACTTTGACTTTTCTGCGGATTCGTGACTTCGATGACTATGTGACTAGCAAAATAGTTAGAAGCCGAACCCCTATACTCTGTGCCCTGCCTTGCACAATGGGTTGATTGAATTGAATTGAATTGAATTGGTTTTATTCAGACACAAGGTCTCCGATGACAAGGCAAAAGGCAGATGGGTTCTGCCTGACTTGGCCCTATCACCAGTTTACATTGCTCAGCGTATAGTACGACACGTTGTAATATAAACACAGAAACCACGGGGAAACAGAACGGCCCACAAATAAAGATCAAAACAACATAACTTATACAGTAGTCATGTCATAACAATTTTCGGGGACATAGGACGCACTAGAATAAATGAAGCTCAACCATTGGATGCAAACACTTTTTAAAAACATTTATTCAATGGGACATGATAGAAGGTACCGTTTTATATTTCTTTTAAAGGTATGCTTTGATCCGCATTCATGAATCATTTCTCTTACGGCCGGATGTTTATTTAAGAAATGAGGAATTAAGTACGCTAATTGAGTATGTCCGTAATTCGTCCTTGACCAAGGTATTCGATAAGAGTCAAACCGAAGATTGTATTGTATATTTCTAGGAAGGAATGCGTCAAAAAAAGTGGACTGGTCACGATTGAACTCATTAAAAATGTGGATTGAAAGTTTAAGCTGGAATAACTGACTAATATTAAGGAAGCTATGTTTTAGAAAAAACGGCGTTGTGTGGTCGGTGCGCTGAAGATTTTCAATACAACGTACTGCTTTTTTTTTGCAAAACAAACAGCCTATCAATATTTGTCTTAGTCGTTGAACCCCAGACTAGTAGACAGTAATGAAGGTGGGAATGAACTAGTGAATAATACAACTGACGTCTTAACCAGCCTGGGACAAGTGTTCTTATTTTGTATAAAATGCCAATAGATCTAGAGATGCTTGCATGAATTTTATTTACATGTGGAGTCCAGCTTAAATTTTCTTCGAAGAGAATTCCCAAAAATTTGTAGATAGTGACACGCTCTATCGTAGAGTCTTGGAATTTTAAAATAATTTCGCAGTCATCCGGTTTACTTCGCGGCTTAAAAATGATATATTTAGTTTTTGTAACATTTAACTGAAGCTGATTGGAGTCTAGCCAGGACGATAACTCGCTCAGCCATGTATTAGCAGAAATTTCAAGATCACGGAGACATGGGCCAGAGAAAAATAAGCTAGTGTCGTCGGCATACAAAACTATTTCAGGAGTTCTAGGTATACGTACGATATCATTAATATAAATAATAAAAAAGAGAGGACCTAAAATAGACCCTTGTGGGACACCGTACGAAATTTGTTCTAACTTGGACCTGTAGCCATTAAGACTAGTATATTGTTGTCGACAAGATAAGTAGCTACGAACTAAATCTAAAGCAACACCTCTTATTCCATAAAACGGTAATTTATAGAACAAAATATCATGTTTAATCGAATCAAAGGCCTTTCTGAAATCGAGAGGGTAACGGAAGGGGAGGACGTGTGCTGCTCGCTCATTGCTGACGACCAATAGTGAAATGTTTGTTTTCAAAATTATTAAGTATTTTTTCTTTGATGCTAAGTAGAGCCATTTCGGTTGACTTATTCTCCGTAAAACCGTATTGCTGAGTAACAAAAGCATTTCTTTCAATAAGAAACTTTGAAAACCGTTTTTTTATAAGAAATTCTAGAACCTTTGAAAACAAAGGAAGTACAGAAATAGGCCTATAGTTGTTAATGTTGTCAAAGGAGCCTCCTTTGTGTAGAACAGCCACTCTTGCAATTTTCATGCCATCAGGAAAAATGCCCGTTGCTATTGCGTTATTGCATATATGCTGCAGAGGAAAACACAAGAGGTCTGCGACAGCTATAATTGGTATAGCCTTGATGTCATCCTCTCCAGCTGCAGTATTTGTAGATAAAGATTTAAGGATTGAATATATTTCTTGTTGATCGCTTGGAGCCAAGAAAATAGTGTCGACAGCTACAGATGAAATATATTTGTCTAAGCTTTCGTTCGGACCATGTGGCTGCAATGACGCACCTGCGTTTAAAAAATGGGAGTTAAATTTGTCTGCCAGTAAGGCATCGTTATACTCAATACCATTTAGAGTTAATGTATCGGGAATCTTACTCTTGTGTTTTCCAATTAGACTTCCTACTGCACCCCAAAGTTTTTTTGGTTCATTCGAAATAGATGCAAACTTGTTTTTATAGTACTCAACACGTGCTTTCTTGAGGTCCTTATTTAATTTATTTCTTATTTGTTTATATTTAATTAATATTGTCTGGTCCCTTAGTCGAATAACTTTATCGTAGAGTTTGTTACGTTCATTAATCCTTTTATACAGCTCGCGAGTAACCCACGGCTTCCTAGACTTCTTGTGATTTATTACAGGTCGAAGAGGAAACGCTTCATTGTAAATGTGTTTTATTTTATGCAAAAATATGTCGTAACACGAATTTGGGTTTTCTTCATTATAAACGTCATCAAAACTGGTATTTTCTATCATGTCCCGGAAAAGAGCAAGAGCATTCACGCCGAAATTGCGTCGCAATACAGGAGGGTCACGGATGTTACACTTTTTCTTTTTGACCAGAGGAAAAAAAACAATATATTGGCAAATGATCACTTAGATCGAATGTAAGAATACCCGATACAACATCCTTTGGGTCATAGCTAGTAACACACAAGTCGATCAAAGTTTCACTTTCAGACGCTAGTTTTGTTGGTGAATGAATGACGTTTGAGCAACCAAAAGATTCAATGACATCAAGAAAACGTCGGCAGGAACGAGTAGATGAAAGCAAATCAATGTTGAAGTCACCAACTAAGACAATTGGCAAATTGAGACATGACACGTAGTCTAGAATTTCATTTACAAACTAAAAAAATTCATTTATATCGCCCGATGGGGGCCGATAAACTGAAGCAATCAGTGACCCAAGGCACTTTACAACAACCGACTCATACTGGTCACTCATCTGCGTAAATTCGGGCAAGACTACATACTCAAGGTTATTTTTAAAATAAAGCGAGGTCCCTCCTCCCTTGCGATTTCTTCTGTAAACCCCTTCAGATTTATATCCTGCGAAATTGACTACGTCGTGTTCACTCGAAAACCACGTTTCAGTAAATGCCAATAGATCGAATCTGTGATCTAAAGAATCCAAGGCTGTTTCTATTTCAAACCATTTATTTTGTAAGCTTCTTATGTTGATATGAAAGATTGACATCTTATCACTTCGAAGCAGAAAAGGATCGTGCACAACAGAGTTAAATGACGTGCTGTCAAGATAAACAGTTACTGGTGGTTCTGCCATCACAAAAATACAAATAAATTAAGCTTCTAACTTTCACTGATTCAGCAGATCTTATCTAAATCAGCCTCACACTCAATGACGATTGCGCGTTCGCCCGCTGCCTTACGCACAAACAAGAGACCATTCTTCTGCCAGGCAAACTGGTACTGTTTTTCCTCAGCCTTAACCCTCATCAGCCAAAGCAACTTCTTATTCTGCGGTGTCAGGTTATCGAGAAAATACACGTTGGATTCGATATTCTTTAGAAGACCCCTTTTTGCCATCCACTGGTCACGTGTAATGCGCGACACGAAGCGAATGAGTACGGCCGGAGTTTTGCCTGGCTTTGAAAACAGCCTGTGAACGCCTTCTAGTTCGTTTTGTGACAGTTCTGGTAGTTGCAGTTCAGTTGCTAGCTCGTTTATCTTATTCAGTAGGTTTTCGTTGTCAGTTTGTGGCAATCCATGTATTTCGAGATTCTGTCGCCTACTGTACTGCTCCATGCTGTTGACTTGTATTTTTAGTTTCTGAATTTCTTGGCCAGCATTATCAGCCTCGATCTTCTCCACTTTTTTTTTCAGGGTTGCAATCTCAGTGGATTGGCGTTTCATTTCTTTAAGAACTTCGTCGTACTGTTCAGACATATGTTGAACGGACTGTTCCAGCTTGTTGACGGTCTCTTTTACCAACATCAATTCATCAACTTTGCACCTGATTACTGGTAATTCCGTTAGTTTCTTATTGATTTCCATGAGAACCTTCTCAAGGGCAGCTTGTTCGGGTTTCTGCTTTACAGCACCCTCGGCCCCACGAGCTTTCGAAGTTTCGCATGTTTGGCATTTCCATTTACTTTTATCGACATCCCCTTTGGCCTTGTAGGTTGTCTTAGAAACACCAGAACACGAGCCGATGTGGTAACTGTAGTCGCATTCCGAGCATGTTAAAAACACTCCATTTTCAGGGAGTGACTTAAGACATACCAGGCAATCGGAATCAGCCATTGTAAGCTAGACAGAGAACAGCACAACGCTACAATAGCAATAGCCACAGCAACAGCGGCGGCGGCGAGTGGGCAGTAACCATAAACGCAGTATACAGCGAAGTGTACCAACCTGCAAATTTCGAAGACAGCTGTTAGTCTCAGGCCGCTGTCACTGCCGCCACCGCCGCTGAGCAAGTGGCTTGGATCCCGGAGAAATGCGCCTTTTAACGGCGCTAGGTGACGTCAGGTGCTTGCTTGTAAACCAATGACTTGAGGCCTTCGTTGCGATGATGATAAAGTGCTCCTGGCGTTGATAACAGTACGGCGCTTCAGCGAAGTCTGCAAATTTCGAAGACAGCTGTTAGTCTCAGGCCGCTGTCACTGCCGCCACCGCCGCTGAGCAAGTGGCTTGGATCCCCGAGAAATGCGCCTTTTAACGGCGCTAGGTGACGTCAGGTGCAGGCTTGTAAACCAATGACTTGAGGCCTTCGTTGCGATGATGATAAAGTGCTCCTGGCGTTGATAACAGTACGGCGCTTCAGCGAAGTCTGCAAATTTCGAAGACAGCTGTTAGTCTCAGGCCGCTGTCACTGCCGCCACCGCCGCTGAGCAAGTGGCTTGGATCCCGATGTTGATTCTAAGGGACCGGAAACAAATACCACAGGATCTGCAAAGGAAGGAAAAACGGAGTTTATTAGGCTTTCTTGGGTTGCCAAACCAACAGATTTCTCAGTAAACCGAACGAGTCACAAACTGGACGAAATACAACACCAAGACCTCATATGCCTTTTCAGGGACATTTTTAATTATTAAGTCACTATTCCTAAAAGCATACCCCGAACGCCGTACCCGGTGCGCCGTACGCGAGATATGTAAGGATGCAAGAAATAGGTACGGAGAGGTGAGGCTAGGCAAGACATTATAAATTATGTTCAGTTTTGAGCAGTGTGTGAGTCACTTATTTAAAAAAATAAGTAAATACACATTGGTAAGAATATATCAAGAGCCTTAATGGGGCCTTCTCAAGCAGATGAATCACCTACGTCAACATGTGTTAGAACTCAGAAGGAAAGCTATACCCATAACTTCACTCTGGATTATTTATAAGTCATATTAGAAGTGTGATTATTTATAAGTTCCATTAGTACTGTGGTACTTACGCGCATGTAAATCCTACGACCAATAGTTGAAATATTTATAAAGCTACTATCTGAGACGTGATAAGCTCGTTGAAGATAGCAGTAGGCATCAGGCTACGCTTGAAACGAAATCATTATTCATAATTTTTTCAGAACTTAAAAAAAAATTAAAAAAAAAACGGCAGGATTTATGTTCTAATCACTCGGGGTTTCCGTTTTGCTTGGTTCTTTACCCTAGAATTAAATTTCCACATCTAATCTCTAAGTTCTGTTTTGTGTATTCGTCACCACACTCCAACAAGTTTTTTTTTTCAGGTTATTACCGTGATTATATTGGGTCCTATAATGACCTCTACAGACTGTTGGGTGGACTGTTGCTGAGTCTGTGTATACCTTGGACAGTCACAACGATCTGGGAGCGCCGAGAAAATAAGCGAAGGACTTTCCTGCAGCATGTGTATACAAGCTGCAATAACAATGAACTTCGAGTGAAATCGCCTTCTTGTTGTCGAGATATCTTCAATTCATGACTGGTTATCTAAAAACCTAAGTACTTTGTAAAATTGTGATCCATTATGATATGAGGCGTTAGGGCGTCAGAGGATTTCACTGTAATGTAAATTATCTTTTCATGTTTTCATTTTTCATCATGTTGATACCATCTTGGTGTGTTTTTTTTACTAAACGTGGAACCGCAAGTTATACAAACTGTACTAAATAAAAAGTGGTCTGTAGACCTAATTTCAACATTTCAAATAAATTGATGTGTCGCACGTCACATGTCTTCTGTAATAACATTCAACGGAAATTTTTTTTATATTTTTCATCTATTTTATACATTGCACACCAACAAAACATGACGAGCATGAGTGGTAATAACTCGAACACAGCTACGTAGGCTAAACACATATCTAAACACGCACATACCGGAATACAGAATAGTGCTCAATGCCAAAAACGAGCGACCGTCCACTCCTATCTCTTCACTATCACCACGTGCTCGTGAATCGCAAAAATTGCCCAAAATTTATATTCCTATTTCGAAAAGAGAGGTAGGCTGAAAGCACGAAAAGCTTTTATGATAGGCGTAACAGCCCTTAATGACATCACAGCCATGACGAGCTAGGAAGCAAGTATTTTAGGCGCTAGAATACTGGCTTTTATAGCAGATTCAGCTGAAGCGAGAGGCATGTTGAACTTGACAGGCGACGCGGTAACGTAGCTGCGTCATCCTCTCCCGCCCGTGGCCCATCTTGCGTTTTTGTTTCTTTCTCTAAAGACGCCCCGCGAAGACGCCACGGCGTAGCTGGACTAAGGGGCCACATTAACGCCACATCAGACCAAATCTGCGGGAGCTGTCGTCTACAAAACGCTCATTTAGAACGATTTTTTGGCGTCGAGCGCCGATTCGACTAAAGTAAAGACTAGTCCGCACGCTTGCGTCTGACTGCTCGAGTGCCTTAGGCTCTTTCTTTTTTCTTTTTTTGTAATCTATATATCCCAAGAGAAGACTGGATAACCTGTACGCTGGTTATTTTCCGACCGCTTGTGGGGTCATGTTCTTTATTGGTCGCATTTGCAATACGAGCTGCAAGGAAGTGCTGAAAGTTGTTGATCAGCTGCAACTGCCTCCGCCTTAAAGGCCAACTCCGGTCGAAAACGAAACCGAAATAAATGTCTGCAGGTACGAATTCCGATCACAGCCGAGATACTACGTCAAGCTGAAGCCGCATGCTTCACTAAACCCGATTTTAAAGATGCCATCAGCTGCTCTTTAGCGGACGGCAAGTGGGTTAGCCTTTAGTCAAGGAACACTCGCGCAGCACCCTTGTGACGTCACGTCACAGTGGAGCTGCGGTTGATTGGTTGCACCGCGTACCGCAGCGCCCTTGTGATGTCATATCGCGGCCGTATGGGTGACAATAAGTGTTGCCATCCCTCTAGCAGATAGTTTTGGTCTTGCCGTAGAGGCCCCAAACCAAACTTTGAGCCGTGATATTCATAAAAGCACCGCACAATATCGAGAAAATCAAATTATACCCTGTATGTCAGGGACACTGATTTAGTTGAGAACAGTCATAATTCCAAATTTATAAAAAAAAAATGAAATAGAACGGGGTTGCCTTTTAGTGACCTCTTTCCTTCTCGCCACGCGAAAAACGCACCAAATGCTTTCTCGCGACCAGTCTCCACACGAGGCGTCCGTCATTATATTGCAGATAACGCCCTTGGTTGGAGATGGACCCTCTCTTCATTGTAGGCTCTCTCCGGGACTGCGTGTAAATAGACTAAAAGGTTTGCAATATGTGCTAGATCGTATCTAAGCAATGCTTCTTAACAAAAATGAAAAGTTGAGCTAGTCGTACACGTTTATGATGAAAAACAGCGCGAAACACAAGGACACAGAGGAGAGAAATACATACAGGACAGGGCGCTGACTATCAGCTTGCTTATCTTGAAAACACGCGGGTATGGTTTTTTTCCTTCACTATGGTGTCGTTTCTTTTGCTTTTACTGTGGGGTCGCTTTATTTTTTTTTTTTCTCCCGTAACATTGCCAGAATTGGTTGAAGTCCACGGTGAAACAATGATGCGTAGAAAAGTATAAAACTATATTCGCTGATCAGAGTTTGCACGGCCATCAAATAGATGGCACCAGTGTGTATTCTAGTTGTAAGCCGCTACAAGTCAGCGCAACGCACTCGAGCTTCATTCAGCGCAAATCTTTAAATCAGCCTTAGAGGGGTGGGGTACTCCTTAGATATTTTGAGCTACCTCAACCAACTATATTTTCCGACTCCCCGGTCTTTACCCTTTCCGATACTCTATTTAGTATCGCGCAATTCATAATAGTTATCGTGGAATCGGCAAATAAAAGTGATAAAAAAGCCAACATTCATATATACCCACACTTTTCTGTGCCGTGAAGTCAGTGGCAGGCAGGCTTTCCAGTCGAGCAAGCAGTCTAAAAAATAGAATATGCCAATCATTTGTTCCGCGCGGGAGCGCGGGTACTGGAGCGAGCTTCCCAAGCATTCATTTGACACCATGAAACTGCTTGTAATCAGTTGGGAACGAACTCTAAAGTCCAAAGAGTGAACCCCTGCCTTCCACTGACGTCACTTTTTCGTTGTTGCCAGTAGACTTTCAGTTTGAAAAACACGGTGAGGACCGAAACTGCAATGGAATTCGCGAAAAAACAATATATCGACCTAATATTTGGGATACTATTTTAGCAATGTTCTTTGGTGAATTTAACAAAATTTCAAGCAAATTGGCGACAGTAAGTGCCCCATAAAAGGGCACTGACTGGTCAAAATCCTTTTCTTTTCTTATTATACGATACAACTTGAAAACTATGTCTGGACTCTGCCCTCAAAATTCGATGCTTGGGAACTCGGTATCTGTGAAGTAAAAAAAAAAAAAAAAACGAAATCCAAAAGCCGAATTAGAAGTTCCCGAGCGATACGCGCCAGAGCAGTGACGTCAAAGACTGAGTCGCCCTCTAACTTGAGTTTTTCTCCTGCCTCTGAAAGTGCCACAGCGGGAAGTGCCGTTTCCTCCCGCGATCCGCCCTTCTCCCTGCGTGTCGCCTATCGTTGCAAGCAGACGACGCTCTACTTTCGAGTTTGAAGTTTCAGCGATCTCAAATTTTTTGAGACCTTAAATTGCTTGAAACTGTGTGAAGTTGAAGAGGACCCGTAGTGGACTTGTGTGGACGACGTGAGGAACCATGTCGCCCCGGTGCTGCGTGAATGGCTGCCCTGGCGGAATCACAGCCGAAAGTACGCTGCACAGGTTCCCAAACAGTACTTCAGTGAAAACGGCCTGGCTAGCTGCAGTTCCTGGACGATTACTCGATGGTTTTGGATCCAATTCTTTTATTTGTTCCCGATACTTTGTCGACGAGGTTTACGAGGCTCGTCCAAGCGTACCTAGAGCGTTAGGAGTGCAAATGGTGCCTCGGTTGAGGCGTGGTGTTGTGCCGACAAACTTTCCGCAGCGGGGCACATCACACCAGGCAAAACGTCCAAACCTAGAGGTAAGTCTACCAAAAATATCAGACTATATGGTACTTGAACTACAGCATAATCTCGATGAACGCAAGCCAACACTGGTGCGTGGCATGAATTAATGTATACCTGCTCTTTGCTCGCCAGTCGAACGCCGTCCCGTCCCAGCCGACGCTTGACTTTAAAATTCTCCAGAAGATAAAAACAGCGCAAATGAAAACAGCGTGGAACGACATACTTCATCTTCTGAAGTATGTCGTATCAACTCGTGCAAGCTTCAACTTTAGCTTGAAAAATTAACATTTAATTAATTTCATGATTGTGGCATTGTATGCACCTCATTGCTGGAGCACACACTACGTAGACGTTTAAATGTGTATACTGTATATAGCTAAGACCGGAGGCATAGTACTGCAGGCATAAGACTATTAGGGCAGTTTAATTTGAAATTGAACAGCAGTGTCGGAGTGGCTATTTTTATTTGGCTCAAGTAAACATATGTACAGGGTGTTTTGTTTTATGTGCGCCTATTTAAAAAAAAAAAAAATAAAGGACAAAACGTTTTATGATTGCTTTTTTCAAACAAAAATACAGCAGCGAAAGAAGCACACGGACACAGACGATGGGAAACAGGAGGAGGCGCACTCTCAAGTGAAGTAGATAAGGTTAACAAGGATTTTGTGGCTATATTAGCCTGTCAACTTTCAATAAACTTCAATTGAGAGTGCGACTTGTCCTGTTTCCTTTCATCTGTGTCCCTGTGTTCGCTCGGCGCTGTTTTTGTTTTTTTGTTGTTGTTGTTGTTTCTTTTTTTTGCAATGAACCAACTGGCCCAAGTCTCCACTTCATTGCTGTTTTCACTACGTGGGCATTAGATGGGAATATAACCATTACTATTACCAGACTAATCAACTAATATTTCTTAATTAACGTTTTAATCACTGTAATTAGGATGCATGTTTATGTTACAAACTTTGAGGCGGTCGTATCCCGAAACTGTTTAATTTTATATAATTCGCGTAAACAGTCCGTGTGGTAGTCTATGCGGAGTGCAAGTTCGTCTGCTTCTTGCGCAGGGGGTAGCGGTGACGTCAGAACGCCGAGCCCTGATTGGCTGATCGCGCCCCCCTATCTGAGCGTCGTCTGCTCCTTTGCAACGTCGTCTGCTCGCAACGTCGTCTGCGTCTGTCTTACCTTTCCTGCGACTTTCGGAAGTTCAGAGGCCAGATTCACGAAACGATCTGACGCCAAAAATGTGCGCAAGACAAAACTTAAGAACAAATTCGTATTCACGAAACGAAATTTTCACAAGTTTGCGCAGGTTACGACGAAATCCTCCGACAGCTCCGAAGCTGTCTTACGCACATCTCACGATCAAATCAGCATGGCCGACAGCGTCGCGGTCGCGACGACCCTCGAACGTTTATTTTTCAACGTGCGCTTCACACGCTTCCCGACTTCAAGCAGCAAGAAAAAAGTAATAGGTACTTGAAACAGACCACGACGAAAAGAACGCTGGATCCACAAACACCCGGGAAAAGCTCCAACGGCCACGATTCCACCGAACACGACCAAGCGAGCACGGCAGTTAGGCCTAGCAGGCACTCCGCGACTCGGCGACCGTTTGCCCACGACCGGCTGGCGTGCTGAATCGAATATGCCCGCGCGGCCCTTGTAAACCCTTCCCGTATTATACTTTGATCGCTGACCTCAATTTTAGATTAAGAGGTCAAATTCTTCTTCTTGTTATCTCCTTGTTTCCCGAGGCAACGGTGACTCTCGCCGGTGAAAAAGCGGTGAATCTCCGGCAGACGCAGGAAAGGTAAAGCAGCCATCGCTTTGACTAGCAGACGTAAAGCAGACGACGTTAACTGCGCCAACCCGCCGACGCCGCCGCACACGAAAGGAGGGAAAAAGTATTTGAAAGGGAACTTGCGGACACTAACACCCTCACTCTCGTTCTTAGCAAACAAACCTCGGCACCTCGGGACACCCCGCCAGTGAGTCCTTTGACTTCCCTCCTTGATGCGCGTCTGCTAGTTGTTAGACAAAAACAACGTAGCGCTCGAGTTATTTCGTCTGCCCTCTCAGAAAAGCGAAGTCGAGCTCGCTCGTAAAGACCTGCACTTCCGAAAGTCGCAGGAAAGGTAATCAGACGCAGACGACGTTGCGAGCAGACGACGTTGCAAAGGAGCAGACGACGCTCAGATAGGGGGTCGCGATCAGCCAATCAGGGCTCGGCGTTGTGACGTCACCGCTTCTTCCTTTCTCACGCGCAGAAGACGAAAATGAGCCCACTTGCGAGGCGTATAGTGGTAGTCCGAAGGTTTCGATTTTTGCGCAGTGTAGAGCGTAATCGTTCTGCTTGTTCTACGTCTGCAGTGCCAGCTGTCTCTTGTTTTTTATGGCAAAAAGCTTTTTTCAGGCCGAATCGCGCTGTGCGATGCCGATATAATCTACACCTGCTCGTGATTCGGTGATCCCTAGGTCCAACGGCTGGTGTCCATGCGAAATGAACCAATTTCACTAGTTCCACAATCGCACGAGAAACCGTTCTAGCTCAGCACTTTTGGAATCCGAGCACGATGCGGGTGAACAGTGGGGCCGCACTGACCATACTCAAGCCGGAACTGTACGTGGCATCGAACATCTTTCAATAGCGTCACAATCTCGTGGTACTAGAACGATTCCAGAAGTCATTCAAACGGGACACCGAAGGAGAAGAACAGTATCTCGATCTGGGGTGCGGCACGGGCGACTTCACGCGTGAGGGCCTGCTTCCCCACTGTCTTCCGTGCCGAAGGATCGTCGCCGTCGATGTCTCCAAGGGCATGGTCGAGTACGCGAGGAGCCATTTCGGCCATCCCAAGATTGACTACGACGTCCTCAACGCTGTGGAAGAGGACGTGTCCGGTTTCATGGGGCGCTACGGTCAGTTCGATCACGTCTTCTCCTTGTTCTGTCTGAACTGGGTAAAGGACCAAGCGAAGGCGCTAAAAAACATCGCGCTGCTGATGAAACCTGGGGGCAGTTGTCTGCTCCTCTTCGTCGCCTCGACGTCCCTAATGCCACGCCGCCAGGAACTGGCTTTGAAGACGCGCTGGGCGAAATACGCGCAGGTGAGGAATGGCGGTGCGCGGCCTTCTTTTTTCCTGACTTTGTGTTGCGTGTACTTTAGACCTCGACGCTGGCATCTTGGAACGACCCCCCACCGCAGATTGCCTTATAAAGCTAGTCTCCAAGTCTCAATTCTGGGGCGCGTATATCATAGCATTCTAAAAGTTAAAAGACCTCAAAATCGGGAAATCATGCTTCTCTACACTGTAAAAAATTTACGTCAATTTGACGTGTCTTTCCCTCGTCAAAAAAGACGGGCACGCTCATCATTTCAAAATACGAGGATGCCCTCATTATTTATTTGGCGCGAGAGCCGAGCCTTCCAGAAAAGCCGAAATCCCAGGAGTGCAAGCATGCGCAGATGGCGAGGAGTTGAATGCCCCGCCGCGCAGTGCGCAGCCCCGCAGCTCTTTCGCGGCCCTCCTCTCTCGCAGAATGGCGGTGTTGGTCTGTTTGTGCGTTGTTGCGGTTGTTGCAACACCCATCTCTGTTGTTTTGCGGTTTTGCTCCGAGTCGTGCGCCCGTGCCGCGCAGGCGCAAACAGAGGTTGCAGCAGCTATCGCCATGCTATCGCTCTTCGGGCATTCGTCGAACTCGCCTCGGTGGCATGTTGACATCGTGGTCAGTGTAGTGTTCTGTGATGCATCAGGGCCTCATCAGCTCATCGACGACTAAATCGCCCACTTCAAGGTATGCAATGTGACTTTATCCTTGCAATGTCTTACTTACGTATTGTAATCGAATATTTCTCCATGTTCGTGGTTCGAGTGCTTTCGGTTGAAGACAGAAAGCGCTCGAGCGTGTTCGAAATCTGCGGTCTGAGAACACGGGCGTCCACCGACACATCGTGCTTTTGGTGTTTCTTTTTCAGCACGTTATGTTTCCGTTATATTATGCACGTGTTTATTTATCCGTGCTGCAGCGGCGGCGCCTTTACTCAGAGCCCTGCGCCTTATCTCTTAGGAGAACTCGTGAGTACGAGCTTTTATGGGAGCTTAGTTTCTGTGTTTGTTTTTGCAACAACATTCATGCAGCCAGAAAACATAAGCGAGCGGCTAACGTCTTTGTAACGAGGCAATGTCATTGAACGACGTTTTAGCGGCTTCGAAAACGGAAGTTTCCAGTGCACTCGATTCACGAGTCTCTAAGACGTACACAAAATTATTGGCCGCCCTCGTAATTTGACGGGAAATTTCTCAAGCAGTTTGGAGGGTTAATTATTGTAAACATCCACTTTGCAGCTCGCTGCTGGCTCTGACATTATATTTAACAGTGTGCTTATTTTTTATATCGTATTTTCCGGGCTATAGTCCAAGGTCTATACATGTTTAAAAGTTGAAATTTTAGGCTGTGCGGACTCTCTACGCGTGCGAACTATACACGAATTTTGTTTTTCAAGATCGTTCATTATGAGATGTGACGGATTTTGTGAGTGAAAGAGTATGTTAATGATGATTTATGTATATTATAGGCAGGCACGTAGCCAGGGGGGAGGCCCATGATGCCCGGCCCCCCACCCCCCTCCCCCCCGAAACAAAATTTTGGCTACGTGCCTGATTGTAGGCTTCTTTGTGTGCTAAGAAAGCAGACATGTGTCAAGGTGTGCCATCTATAAGAAGATTGTCGTGTCGACTAAGCACCAGGTGCCGACTATGCACTGCACGCGGACTATGCACCGGGTGCGGACTATCTAAGTATCTAAGCAAGAACTTTTACTTTGGACCCCCAATTTGCCCCTGCGGACTATACACCGGGTACGGACTATAGCCCGGAAAATACGGTACATATATTTTAGGTTTTTGCATGTCCTATATTCCGTTCACGCCTACGCTGACAGTGCGGTGCAAGCTACTTGTTCGCCAACTATTAAGGCCTCTTATCGCTTGACCTCGCTCTCCCCGCGTGAGTATGCGGAGAGGCGGTGACCACGTTGTGCAGAATCGACAGTTGACTGGTCAAACGAACATGCAGCTTCCACCGCACTGTCTGTTTAGCGGTGAACATTTCGCAAAATCGTAATAATTAGCTCAGCATACCCAACGGCTGATCGGCTTCCCAGAAGTTTATATTTTATTTATTTTTCTGCGCTTTCTTGTTTTATTTCTCATTGATGAGTACTGTTCATTCATTTGCACACCTGAGTCATTAGACAGCTGAAATGACGTCGAAAGCTTCTTGTGATATAGTTTTTTTTTTTGTAATCTTGAACGGATTGTAAAGGAAAATGAAGGTGATATATATGTGGATGCCGTCCTCACTGTATAATTGTAGGGCTCGGCGGACATTAGACAGGCGGATAAACGTCAAAATATGTTTACTAATTAACCAAAAATTGTAAAGTCACTGTTTAATTACATAGCTTTTTTACTTTTCTTATTTCACTGTAGATTACACTTGTGCAGCTTCAGACACCCCGGCCGTGACACTTCCCCTTTGGACTCGGTTTAATGAATTTGTGTTTAGTATAGTTGCGTTATTTGTGTTTAGTATAGTTACGTTTATTATCATTAGTGCATGATTTTTTTTAACGAGGTTATAATTGCTTCCTCTTTTTTACAGTGGCTATTTTCAAACCTAACGTTGCATTTGCATATGTTGGCGTGCATGTGCATGTGTGTGTCTGCATCTAACTGTGTCACATGACACCTGTGACATCCTAATGACGTCTGCATATAGTTGTTTCACTTTGCACTCGGGCTCAAAGTATAGCTATGTTGGACTGTTAATTTCAAGGTGGCATATCCCACAAGCCTCATGTTGGCTTTGATGTGCCCGTCATGCTAACTGATGTGTGCTAGATACAATAAATGTATTATATTATTATTATAAATATTATTATTATTATTTAGCGGTTTAATGGGCCTCTTCGCAATTGCAATCTTAATGAGAGAAATGTAGCCCAAAAACTCTAACCGGCGATTTCCGAAAAACATGGATTACCTCAAAACTTGCTGCTTTTTCACAAAATTGTTTCATTTAGGTTGGGCTTTAATAATGTCTCCGTTTAAAATTGCAATCGCAGCATAGCCCATTATACCAATACTTAAGAAGGTAATTAACATATTTTGGTTAGTAAACATAATTTTATGTTTATTCACTTATCTAACGTTTGTCATTGCTGTGGTATTGCTGGCTACTGCAGTGTGTGACCCAATTGTTATATGTTTGTTATAGGTACTTTGGCCAGATAAACCTCAAAAGAGGTACCAGGTGTGCACCATGCCACACCGCAGAGAGCGGTATTTATCCGAAAGTGCTCAGGCTCATCAAGGAAGGGAAATGAACCCGTAGGTACTATTCAAAGATTGCCAGCTGCTCTTTTCAAGCCGCATGGAGAGCTCTATGAGTTCGGCACGCGTTCCTTGTGGTCCTTGGGATATTTCATGCTGGAGGCTTATGTAATATTGGTCTTGTCTTTGTAACTTAGTGGGTATAAGGCAAGCTGTATTAAATTTATTGCAGGTTCCAGCTGCACCAAGCAGGTGCACTCACCCTCAGGTTGCAAGCCGCTCTCTTCAAGTCGCATGGAGTGCTTTATGAGGTGAGCAAGCATTTCTAGCAATCCTTGGGACATGTCGTGCTTTAGGCTTATGTATTACTGGCCTTGTCTTTGTTACATTGTGGTATATGGCAAGCTGTACTAAATTTATTGCAGGTCCCAGCTGCACCAAACAGGTGCACGCACCATTACAGATTGCAAGCCGTTCTCTTTAAGCCACATGGAATGTTCCATGAGGTGAGCGTGCATTTGTAGTGGTCCTTGGGACATGTGCTGTAGGCTTAGGCATTACTGGCTTTGTCTTTGTGGTATACGGCAGGCTGTACTAAATATATTGCAGGTCCCAGCAACAAACATTGCAAGCCGCTCTCTTCAAGCCGCGTGGAGTGCTCTCTGAGGTGAGCAATGATTTCTGGTGGTCTTTGGTACATCCCCTTCTGGGGGTTTATGTAATACTGACCTTGTCTTTTTTATTTTCTGGTATATGGCAAGCTGCATTAACTTTCTCGCAGTTCCCATCTACACCAAGCTGGTTGACCCACCGTCAGACCGCAAGCCGCTGTCTTCAAGCCGCACAAAATGTTCTATGAGGTGAGCAATCATTTCTGGCTGTCTTCGGTGCATGCCATGCTGGGGGTTTATGTAATACTGGCCTTGTCTTTGTTACTTTCTGGTACATGGCAAGCTGCATTAACTTTCTCGCAGTTCCCATCTACACCAAACGGGTTGACCCACCTTCAGGCCGCAAGCCGCTGTCTTCAAGCCGCACAAAGTGTTCTATGAGGTGAGAAATCATTTCTGGCTGTCTTTGGTGCATGCCATGCTGGGGGTTTATGTAATACTGACCTTGTCTTTGTTATTTTCTGGTATATGGCAAGCTGCATTAACTTTCTCGCAGTTCCCATCTACACCAAGCGGGTTGACCCACCGTCAGACCGCAAGCCGCTGTCTTCAAGCCGCACAAAGTGTTCAGTGAGGTGAGCAAACATTTCTGGCGGTCTTTGGTGCATGCCTGCTGGGGGTTTATATAATACTGGCCTTGTCTTTGTTACTTTCTGGTATATGGCAAGCTGCATTAACTTTCTTGCAAGTCCCAGCTGCACCAAGCGGGTAGACCCACCGTCAAAAACCGCAAGCCGCTTTCTTCAAGCCGCACAGAGTGTTCTGAGGTGAGCAATCATTTCTGGCGGCCCTTGGTACATACCATGCTGGGGGTTTATGTAAAACTGGCCTTCTCCAGTTTGATCCAGTTTTACCTAAGGAAAAGGTGGACCTCTATAGTGTGATGGACATGCATTCAATATTTTTATATACATGTATACAAAGCTGTCTATTTTGATTCGAACGAAATTAAAAAAAAAAAAAAACAGCACGAGTTACTTAAATAATTCCCTCACTGTGTGTTTGTGGGGCTTGGAGGACATTAGATAAGGGGATAACCGTTGCAGTATGTTAATCAAAACTAATGAACAAAATTTTTTTAATAATGTTTTTAATTGTTTTATGGGATACATTTCAATTCTAGTTTCAAAGGCAGTAAATATTAGACTAACAGAATTTCTGTATAGCAACAAGGTTCAAGATATGGAATGCTAAATATTTGCTTTTTTTGT